TCCTAATATCTCAGAATACACATCTGAACTTCTGCTGTAGGGGCTGAAGAGTCCAGCAGTGTCTCTGTGGTGGGTCGGTCCAACAAACACAATCTCTTGTTGCAGCTCACTGAAGTGATGTGTTGTTCTGTATCCAGGGAACAGTTAAAGGTTACCAACTTCATCAAATGTGTAGTTATGTCAACAGCTACACACAGTGCTATAATGATAACACATTTATTTAATCAATGATTGACAAAAGAATGATTACACTGTAACTATAACTGTAACTTATCTTGTGACATACCAAAAGCTTCCATATAAGTTCCTGGTGCAAACAGCCTAAGCTTCCAAGTGAGCCTTGGTGTTGGTTATAATACAATACAAGACGATACAACTAGGACATGTGACACAACTGCACCAATAGCATCAGTAATACTAGTATTGCAGTAATGCTTAACGTGTGTATCAGAAAGGTTTTATCAGCCTCAGCTTCACTTCACACACACTGCCTAGAGAGCCAGTACAACAGCTGGGTAATAATCAAATCAAAGTTACACAATGTCATCAGTTAAATAAATTAATATTTCTTTTTCACATCTAGCTATATTGATTCCTTCAGTGCACACCTATTAAATGAAGTTCAGCATAAAGACTGAGCTAATGTTAGCGCTGCAGTATAAAGTAACACAAAAAGCAATGTGTAAAAATAGTGACCGGTATCCAACCTACTACTCGTTATGATGGGAGGACGTTCAGACTTTGTGCCGGTCTGTGCAGCCAACTTCAGAGCAGTTGCAGTGTTTGGCTCCAGGCTTGTGGAGGGAAAATGGTGGACCTTTGTGAATGTGGTTCTCAGGCCGTGAGCGGAGGTTACTTAAATGGGGGGTGGTGGTACAATTCTCATGGGCACCAAGTACACGGACCAGTGTGCTTCTCCTTACCTTTGCTAGTCATCTGCCCACCTGGTTCTGACTTTCGTCTGTTTTTTGGTAGAAACATGAACTGTCATGCATCTGGGTTCAAACCTGTCTCCTTACTGAGACATTACAACAATCCTTTTATAGTAACGTATCCCTCCGACACTGACGCACTCATTTGTCTCCACTTTGTCTGCAGAAAACGTTACAGCTAGAAAACTTAAGTATGCTGCAGAGAAGTCAGAGGCTGTGTTTGTGTTTGTGTAGTCAGTGTCACTGTGGTGCTGATGACTAAAGAATGACACTGCATCTCAAAATTAAATTATTTGATTTGAGGGTAAGTCACACAATAAGGTGGAGGGTAGAGTCAATGGGTAAACAATCTTTACACACCCATTAGTTCACCAGAGAAGAAAATCGCTCCACTCCACATGGCTGCATATTATACATTCATCATTATATTTAAACAGAGGCTTGCAGATATACATGAAAGTGCCAAAACGCTGCATGTGAGCGCACTGAGATGTCATTATTTTTCTCAACCAGGAATTATCTGTATCCAATACAACTTTATTTGTTAAGCACTTTAAAACAACCAAAGATGACCAAAGTGCTGTACAGGAGAATAAATAAGACATTATAAATAAAAGACATAACAGCTCACATGAGTTAAAATTACATATAAAATACAACAATAAAATGCAAAGGCACGGTCCCCTCTGAGCTTCCACTTAGTTTTAGGCACGCTCAGGAGCAGCTGATCACCTGACCTGACGGGGCGGACGGGTATATAGGGGTGTAGAAGCTCAGAGAGGTAGGGCGGGGCAAGACCATTCAGGGACTTAAAAGCAAATAAAAGAATTTTAAAATGGATCCTAAATTGAATAGGCAGCCAGTGGAGTGAGGCTAAAATGGGGGAAATGTGCTCATGTTTACGTGTGCCAGTTAAAAGACGTGCAGCAGCATTCTGTACCATCTGGAGACGGGCGATGGAGGACCCACTAACCCCCACATACAGTGCATTACAGTAATCCAGCCGAGTGGTAACAAAGGCGTGGGTTACCGTCTCAAAGTGCTGCCTTGATAGAATTGGCTTTATTTTGGCCAGCTGCCTCAAATGGAAAAAGCTTGATTTGACAACAGCCTTGATCTGACTGTCAAACTTAAGCTCAGGGTCCACTTTAACCCCTAGGTTTGTGATGCTAGGTTTAATATACTGGGCCAAGGAACCCAGATCTACAGGGGGGGTCCCAGTGGTGGATTCACCAACACTCAGCCATGTCTCAGTCACACAGAGGAAATCCAATCCTCGGGACGTGAAGAAGTCCTTTAAGACAAAAGTCTTGTTCACTAGTGATCTAGCATTTACCAGGCCAATCCTGGCAGGAACCGGCGGGGCCGCGGCGTTGGCTGTCCGCATTGAGTCTAGTGTTTTATGTAACACGAGTGTTTGTGTTTGTGTTCAGCACTCTGACAGATGGCGATCACTGTTCAACGCTACGCTACATGCAAACATTGTGATAAACCTACCAGATATTCAGATCTTCACTGAGGTCGATGACGAGGCTTCCCATGATGCACTTCCCTCGGTGCTGATGTTGTCACATTAAACAGAAGTTAAAAATCAAGACAGAATTTAGACAATGTTGGGTTATTCTTAATTGATATGAATTTCTACTAACCGAGTATTTGATCACCAGGATGTCCATCCTTCACTCCTCCTCTGTTCTTGAAGATCTGAAGTGGTCCAGTGACTTTAACTGGAAAATATTAAATATTTACTTATTAGTTTTAGCAGATATGGATACAGGATTGGTGACAAATTCAAATTGCAGTTGTAAAGCTTTTAATCATCATGGACACTAATAATAACCACAACCACATTACTTACTTACCCCACTCTGCTGGAACGGGGCAGTTAACTTCAGCCTTCCTCGGTTTCTAGGTGTTGGCGTTAGTGAATATAACAGAGGAAACATTTAGAAAACAATCATTTTACAGCAACACTGACGTTACACATAACGGAGGTCAAATCATGAAAGCAAAAACATTTTACTCTCTAATTTTATATCAAAATCATAAATATCAGGTGATCATCTTGGTTAACAAGAATACTAACAACAATAATTTCATCTTAGCGTTTAAGTTTGCATCATGTTGGATTTACATTATAGAAAAAATATATTATAATGTGTTTATATACTGACACTTTGTTATTACAATATAATTATGCAGGTGTTTGTACAGGTTCAACTGTAATTCTCTGTGGTGGTGACATTGTTTGAATTAGATCAGGTCTGTTTCTGTTTGCATTGAACACAATGTGCAAGTAATATATAATGATATCAGTAAAACAATGTGCACATTTGAAATGCTTTATAAAAGAAACTAAATAAGTGCATTTAGCAGGAGGAAGAAATTCTGACAATTAGTTTGTCAACCAAATAAAATCTCCTTTGACACACATTTGGGGATAAATCCTCCTGGTTATTTATTACTTCACTATTTTAATTCTACTACTCTACCCAGCTGATCGGCGTTTACACAGAGCGCCGAAAACCCCCTGATATTGATCAGTGATCAATCAGTGTCCTGTTACCATGGTAACTCACTGCCGCGCCGGAGGAGAGAGCGCGGTCTTTAACGGGCATTAACGGTCTTTAACGGGCTTTACTCCCCGATGCTCTGAATAAGTCGGCAGACATGTTGTTAGTCGCCTCTCAGCTTCTCCACACTCCGGGGTTACACTTGATGTTAGCTGTAGCATTACGCTAGCGTGATGCAGCAATCATTTTAACAAACGCCCAAAAGTTTGTCTGTTAACAGAAAGTAAACTTGTTTTACAGCTGAAGAAACAAAAGCAGATTCTCACCTTATTCACTCTCTCACTCACACAGAGGAGTTAATAAACGCTCCCCAGATAGCGCTAACCGGCGGTCGCTGTCTGACGCTGCCGGACACGAGCAAAGCTGCTTTTGTACAGAAATAAAATCCCTAAGAGGGTCTGAGACATCTTATAGTCCGGGTCCACATCATAACCAGCCCAACTGAACTCCCACTCCTGTGGCGCCTGCCTCGGCACAGCTAGCTCGTTAGCCTGCTAACCCACTGACGGAGAAAGGTCCTACACCTGTTAGCCAATAGGAGTGCAGCATGACCACACTCCTGTGGCCCCAGCCAATGGGAGAGCAGCATGAGTTGTTCTGTCAGTACCTGTGCAGCCAATTTAAAGTTAAAGTTTGTACAGAGAGGGCGCTGCTGCACGTCAGCTGGTGTTTCACTTTAAAGCTGCAATAGGTCATTTTTATCAAAATAAAAAAAATATTTTTTTATTTGCATTATAGATAGTAGTACATGAGACATGAGCAACACAACTTTTATCACTGTACAAACAGACAACTTTACTAACACACACTCTCTCTCTCTCTCTCTCTCTCTCCCCACCCACCTAGGTTTCTGCCTTTTAACAGGCAGTGTTTCCTTGCCCTTGTCTCCAAGGTCTTGCTCATGGTGGGATTTCCCATGGTGCACTGGCTCCTCTCTTCCTCTCTCTTTCTGCACTCATTCATGTCCCATTACTGCATGTTACTAACTTCACTTCTTCCCCGGGGTTTTTTTGGTTTTTCTTCTGCAGGTTCTCATGGATCGGTGGGCCTCCTGCCATGGTCTGCTTGACGGCCATTGCAATAGTGTTGCTGTGCACCCGTATGTCTGTCTGTCTCTCTCTCTCTCTCTCTCTCTCTCTCTCTCTCTCTCTCTCTCTCTCTCTCTCACCCCAACTGGTCGAGACAGACGACCACCCACCTGGCCGGAGGATCTGTCCTGGTTTCTCTTTAAAGGCAGTGTCTCCCCCCCTGTCGCCAAGGTCTTGCTCATGGTGGTACTGTTGGGTCTCTGTAAATAATGTTTTAAAGAGTTCGGTCTAGACCTGCTCTATTTGAAAAGTGTCCTGAGATAACTTCTGTTATGAATTGGAGCTATACAAATAAAATTGAATTGAATTGAATTGTACAAACACACAACTTTAATATCACTGTACAGAGAAACAATTTTATTATATATATAGTATTATATATATTAGTAAAGCTTAGTCTACACATTTTAATCATTTTGAAAACAATGTATTGTTTAAGGTGCTTTCTGTGAAAATGACATGACATTAAATTTACACATTTTAACCACTAGTCATTTTTCGGTCTCATATGTTTTTTGGTTTGATGAGCTCCGACTACCCCAAAAGCTTCAGGTGGCATGCATTCATACGCCACCTGTTTCACTTTTTCAAGGAAACATGTCGCGCCTCTAAACAGACCTGGAGCTTGTCCCCCCATTAGAAATACACCCTTAGAGAGCAAGGCCTCCAAATATACTGTTGCTGCCTCTTTGGGATCAGTTGCCAGTTTTATCTCAGGACATTGCATCAATTCTTCTAAAGCAATCACAGCTTTTTTGAACATGTCATTGCTGTAGTAGCTTCTTTGATTTTTCCTGAGCATGCTGTTGATCGTCTGCAGCAGGCCGGTTACTTGAGTCTCATCCTTGACTTTGTTGTTGAATACGTGGTAAGCCTCACAGGACTCATTGATGAACATGTTCAGATATTTTTTGCTTTTGATAAAAGCTTTGCATTGCTCTTCAACCTCACATTGATCCCCATGGGTGAACAAGACAATAGTATGGCATTTTGCGTCTTGAAAGACTTTCTGGAAGGCCTCCAGCGTTTCTTTATCTTGTCTTGAGAAGGTACCTTGCCTCAGCACCAACAGGAACACATGAGGACCGGGCATAATCAGAGTGATGCTTTCTAGGATCTCTTTCATCACCTCGTCCTGACTTTTGTTAGTGTGAAACAGACCTGGAGTATCAACAATAGCAACAGTTTGTCCATCAAACTGTCTCGTCTTCCGGTCGCACTTTCCTGTCTCAGATGAAGAAGACAGTTTAGTCCTGAAGTCATCCCTCCCAAGGATGGTGTTTCCTGACGCACTCTTCCCGACTCCGGTCTTTCCCAAGAGCACAATCCTCACCTCCGACTCCTCTGACTCTGCTGGAAAGTTTTAAACAGATTTATTAATGTTGCATCAGCCATAACTACACACTCACCAGGCTAGTTTAAAATTCAAATACCAACCAGTCAATTATAGTATAATATAAACTAATTAATTTCACTTTTTGCACGTTGAGGAAAGGACAATTCAAAACTAGAAAATTCCTAAAGCAATTTTGATTGTGCCTTGCTCTGGCCCATATGTTAATACCATGTCTACGTGCTAACCGCTAATCGCTAGCTGTGCGCTAATCGCTAGCTAAGTGCTAACCGCTAGCTAAGTGCTAGCTTTGGTTAATGTTTGTTTGTTTGTTTGTTGCCTAATTATTTTGCTTTATTAATGCATTATAAAAAAAATGTGTTTAATTGTATTATGCTCCTGAAGGAGTGCTAATGTAAATTAAGGAATAGCTCATGGTAGGGTAGAATATTTAAGGTGTATTGAACTTATTTTGTGTTAATATTAAAATCATTCAGCTTTAAATTGTTTGCTTGTTAGCCACCTGATAATTATCTTTAGCTAGCCAGCTAGCGCTAGATTATTAATGCCATGTAATCCTCCCTATAGCATATTGATAACCTGTCATCCTCCTTAGCTAGCGCTAGCATATTAATATCATGTCATTCTCTTTAGCTAGCTAGCTAGAGCTAGCACACATAAACACATAAACCAAAGGTAGCGTTTAGCTACGTGCTAATCGCTAGCTACATGCTAATCGCTAGCTAAGCGCTAATCGCTAGCTAAGTGCTACCTTTGGTTAATGTGTTTAATTGTATTATGCTCCTGAAGGAGAGCTAATGTAAATTAAGGAACAGCTCATAGTAGGGTAAAATATTTAAGGTGTATTGTTCTTATTTTGTGTTAATATTAAAATCATTCAGCTTTAAATTGTTTGTTTGTTAGCCACCTGCTAATTATCTTTAGCTAGCCAGCTAGCGCTAGCTTATTAATGCCATATCATTCTCTTTAGCTAGCTAGCTAGAGCTAGCAAACATAAACACATAAACCAAAGCTAGCGCTTAGCTACGTGCTAATCGCTAGCTAAGCGCTAATCGCTAGCTAATCGCTAATCGCTAGCTAAGTGCTAGCTGTGGTCAATGTGTTTAATTGTATTATGCTCCTGAAGGAGTGCTAATGTAAATTAAGGAACAGCTCATAGTAGGGTAAAATATTTAAGGTGTATTGTTCTTATTTTGTGTTAATATTAAAATCATTCAGCTTTAAATTGTTTGCTTGTTAGCCGCCTGCTAATTATCTTTAGCTAGCCAGCTAGCGCTAGCTTATTAATGTCTTGTCATTCTCTGTAGCTAGCTGTGTGTGTGTGTGTGTGTGTGTGTGTGTGTGTGTGTGTGTGTGTGAGCAGGCTTTGGTTGTCATGGCAATCAGGGGAGCCCACAGCAGCTGCGCACGTTTCTCTGTCTCTAACTCCTCAGAGAGACAGAAAACAATTAAAATGAATCCCCTCAAAAGCATGGCCAGGAACGACCGAAATGAAAACCGAAAACACCGTGGGCGTCGTCATCTTGTTGACTATAGCGCTGCCGAGTTTCAGTGGCTAAAGTTAAAAAATGTGACCTGGGGAGATTGAGAGAGAAGAGGTTCAACGAGCGTTTTTCAAGATTTGTCCTCTAAAATTAACATGGGAGTAGATGGGGCTGTGAGAGGGAGTTGCTGGCGCATCAGTGCGTTTCTCGCCAAAACTATTTGTCTGACAGCTTCAGCAGTGGTATCACTGCGACCCCAACGAATTTACCTACGTTTCTATCTATAAATTATTTCTGTAGAGTGAAATTTGTGGCCGTGACAGCAGTTTACAAATTTATTTTTCGACAAATTTTTCTCTCTCCCCACACTCTAGCGATGATGTCACGCACTCTGGCAGTTTTTTTCAGTTGGAGGTTCTCGCAATACACACCCATTCATTTTTTGGACCGGTTTTTGGCGATTTACCGGCAAACCGTTTGGCGAAATTCTTAGAAAAGTCATAGCACACCATTCCCGGCCGAGCCGCACGTTTTGATACCTTTTTTGTGTATGTGCGACAAAAGCTGCGGGAGAAGAAGCGCGCCGAAAAACGTACGGAAGAATAATAATAAGTATGGGGAAGAGTAGTATTGTGCTTGCTTATGCAAGGCACAATAATAAGATATCTTCTTTGTCCACCTCACTTTCACATCAAAAGCATAATGAAGGATGTTTGATGATGTCCTAAAGTAGCTTGGGATCATGGGCGTTGTTGTTTTCATATTTTAGCAACCATCATTGCTGTTTGATCTGTCTGATGAGACTCAGGGAGAAATCATTTAGTTAGTTAACCCTGTGAAAAGAATTGAGGTACCCATTTAACATATAGGACTCTGCTAGCTTAAAGATTATCAGAATCACTTAGTGGAACTTTGTCTAGTATAAAGTATTACTAGTTAATGAGGCTTATCTTTCATTTTTTCTTTAGTTCAGATATTTTTCAGCTCTTTAAGTTCTCGTGGTTATATTTATTTTTAGTTCCAAACAGTACCCATAAACCCTTTTCCTTTGTGGGCTTTGCCTCAACTTTTTCAGTTTGTAAAAGATATCTGATTTCCTTAAAATAAATAACTTTGATTTACCATTAAACACTTAGTTTTATGTTGCTTCCCTTGCCCTTTAAGAGTTGGATCATAATATTGCTCACGGACAAGATCGTTGTATTATTCACATTTATTAATTCACATAATGGTTAATCATGTTTATTGACTTCCTTACTCGCTCTCTGACGTATCCGACGTATCCTGTGTTTGTCCTGAAGTTAAAGGCAGTTATAGTCATAGGCAAGAAGGAAACGCAGCGTTACCTGAATAAAATGACATATTTCTCTAAGTTTGAACATTGTTGTAAACTTTTGGTATAATGTAAGAACACAACTCAATTACATATAGAACCAAGAATAGTTTTTATTTAAACATTTTTTATTTTAAATCAAGTAAATTAGACATATTATTCTGGCAAACCCTATTTTCACCCGTTCTTTAGTCAAATACACAGAAGAAAAAACATTTAGACAGATTTCTCTTACTTGCCTCTCAGGGCTTCCATAGACGTCAAGACATATATATTATAAATACAATTTGTGAATTTTGTTATGAAGCCAAATGACTGTAGGAGACTGTAAAATTAACCAAAAGTGAAGCCTTATATGTGTTTATTGAGAGATTTCTTTGGAGCATAATTGATGTAAAAGATACATGAAAACAATAATAAGAAGAATAACATAAGTTTGATCAAACACTACCTGACTAAGAGTACTGTATATGAAATATACTTACCATGCTGAAGATGTGTGCAGGCCATCTTTGTCCTGTAAAAACAAACTGAGATGTCTTGTTGCTGAATAGTTGGTCATTTCAGCTGCGATCGGCTCAGGCTCTCTGCGACCCTGCAAAGGATAAGCAGTTATAGATCATGGATGGATAAAGTCTGTGTAGTTCCCTCCCCTCAAACACATGTCATCTGTTACCTAGAGAGTTTAAGGACAGAAAGCACAGCCAACCAGTCACAGATCAGAAACCAGAATGAAGCTGCAAGCAGCAAATCTGGAGTTGTGGTGATGTCATTGTTTACTATTTGTCTGTGCTTATGTTTTATTTTTAATGGTTCTTACATGTCATCAACCTGCCAGACACTGCTGATGGAAATGAGCCTTTAGGTCTAATTGCCCATGTTAATTAATGTGCAGCCTCCATTCTTACATAAAATACACATAAATCAGAGTCCACAGTTTAAGTGAATCAACAAAGTACACTTTATGGTTGGTTTGACCACTAGTTTAGTTTTATTTATTTATTTATTTATTTATTTATTTATTTATTTATTTATTTATTTATTCAGATTGCTTTAATAGTGGATTTGGTATTTATACTACTGTTTCCTTGCATGTAACTATTCACATAGTCTATGTGTGCGATGGCATTTTATTTAGGCCTACATAGAATCCAGCCAGACTAACAAAGGGTTCTGGGAAATGGGCTCTCGTAGAGAATATGTCTGGAGTTAGAAAGGCGACATAGATGTAGATAGGAAGATAAGGCAGCCTTTCTCAGCCACCACAGAGCGAGACTATTTTCTGGGCCTAAGTCATAGTAAACAATAATGGGAGATAAACAGCTGCTTAAATGGCTGGACATACCATCACCTATTATGCTCCAGTTCTATATTCTTAGTCTGAGACTCCACTAGAGTAGCATTGCATGATTCACTCACAAAACATCCTTATCTAATACTGGCCCTTCATGCAGCCCCTCAGTTCATCCTGTGTCTGAAACAAGCCACCCCCTTTCTTCTGATTGGCCAACTGGTGAACACGTAAGGGACAATGCCCTTCGAAATGTCCATTATCAAGAATTAATGGACAATGTGGAGGCAACCGTGGCCTAATTCCTAATAAATGGACACCTCAAGGGGCATTATCGAGCTTATACCATGGTAAAAAAGATTATTATTTTAAAGCATTTTTAATCAACAACATTTTTTTTTGTGTTTTTTACAAGCCAAAAGTCTGTTTCCCTGACAATACATTACCTTTTATACACTTTCAAATATATATAAAGAAATCCACAATGAGCTGATGTCGACTAGACACGTCATCTGGATAAAGACGTTTTGTCAACATTTGTCATTGTAACATTATATATATAACAGAAACTAAAGGAAACCATAATCCCGCCCCTTTTACGGTTCACTTCTTGGCCACACCTGAGTTGAAGGTAACCTAAAAAAACTGTCATGGAGAGGACTGAGAAGCATATCAAATCTGATGTATTTTGGAGGCTCGTCTATCAGTTTTTCCACACTGTTTTTGTAAACCTGTTTGCGGGTAAGTGCTGATGGCTTATTGTTTTTTTTTCCTCAGAGGACATGCTGGGAATTGTGTTTGTGATTGCACACTGTGTCATAGTAACTTTTATTTCTCTCCACATGTTCTTTGATGTTGACATTGCTGATGTGTTCTCCACACATGCGTGGTAAATGCCATGAATGGCCACTGGGCGGATCAGTATCTACCTGTAGCTGACTTTGAAACAGTATATTTGATGGGCTTCTACAGGGTCTTGATCTGCTTATTTTTCTTCTGCCATACTGGTTCACTGTGTGTTAATTAGCATGCATTCATCCATCCATTATTATGTCTCTCTCGCCAGAAACGGCTGGGAGATCGTGAGGTGTTCCCAGGCCAGATGATATCAATTATCCTGTGTGTGTGGGACAGGGTGGAACTGAGCCCACCAGCAGCGCACAACTGACAATGCTACGCCTGGAGCTAGCTGCACTGCACAGCTGTTACAGCTAGGCTGAGAAGAACTAACTGACATTTGGATCCACTTCAAATAGAATTATGGAGTTTCCTGAGAGGTATCTCCTGGTGATGTTGAAGTCTAGCGTAGCTATTGACTCCCAGGAACAAACTGAGTGACAACTACGAACAGGTATGTGACGACTAGAGAGACAGTTGGCAGCTTGGAAAGATGGAATCTGGGGCAGACAGGGTTATCAGCCCTCCGACTTTCATACAGTATTGCCTAAAAGAGACGGCAGAGTAAACAGAAATACTTTGGTAGACACAACGTATCGAGGGCAAGGTCTGCAAGAACTCGTTACGAACGAAGGACCTGATGCTTGGAGCAGGACAATAACAGATCATCCAAGACAATAAAAGAGTGCCAGAGAATTCTGCCCCAAGTGGAGTAGTAGAACATTGTTAGGTTACATCCAGACAACAAGCATGAGGCATGGCTGCAGTATGAGGAGGAGGCATTGGAGATTGTCATGCTGGAGGTCATGGGGGTAAGTGGACAGGCAGATCAAGACATACAAGTATGTGCGCACTATGTGGCTATGAGCTGTAGCAAGAGCTTAGAACCCTTACACTCCTGTATAAGGAAGCAAGGAAAGACAAGAAACCACCTTTAGCCATATTTTAAAACATCTTAAAGGAACAAAATCATCACCTGCGTGGATCAGAATGCCTCAGTAGATGAGCAAGGAAGCAAGCTGCCTTTATTGGGAATCCCTTCCAGTTCACTACAAAACTGCTAGGACAAAAGCACACTGTCCAGCTCAGCGGTTACAAAGAGAAGGTAGACTCCACTCATTGAGTGACCCATTCAGGGATCTTAGACTGCTAGGTGGTTGGAGCCAGTGGGGCCTTTTTAAAAAGCTCCCCAGCTTAAGAGTCAACTGGTGTAGAGGTGGGGTTGCAGACCAGTGGAGGTTTACAGAGAGTCCTGGGTTCCAAGAGGGAGAATGAACACCATTGAGCAGTTCAAAGCCATCTCCCTGCTTATCATACGTCATATGAGATAATGTTAGTACTTTCCAACCCTGTGTTTTCAGTTGTTGGGGAGTACTACTGCATATGTGAAAGAAGTTGTATAAAAGATTACAAGTTTGAATATAAAAAAATTGTTGGTTTGAAGTTAGAAAGACGTGAGCTTACCAGACCTCTGTGGCCCAGTCCTCATCTCTGCTGAAGTTTGGAGGCCACTACTAGCATAACTCACCCTAATCTGTGACTGAACCATTGGTAGTCATGTACTGTGGTTAATTTGACGCCAGATTTTTACAGGAAAGAAGGATATTTGGAATAATATATCCATCTATCCCTTTTCCACCATTTATAAGAAGCTGAGATGTGGTGGCCGCAGGCTAAGCAAGATAGTCTAGATGTCCCTCTCCCCATCAAACAACTCCTCCTGGGGGATCTTGAGGCATTTCCAAGCCAGGTGAGATATAAATAATCTGTCCAGTGTGTTCTGGGTCCCTAGGGTCTCATAACAGTTGTTCATGCCCGGCAAACCTCCAAAGGAAGGATTCTGATGATGCCCAAACCACCTCAACTGGCTCCTTTTGAGGCAAAAGTGCAACGGTTCTACTCCGCGTTCCCCCGGATGTCTGCGCTCCTCAGCCTACTGTATCTCTGAGGCTTCTGAACCCAGACATCCTACAGAATCTGTATCCGTGGTATCAGTCTTTCAGCCACAACCCACAGCTCATGACCACAGGAAAGAAATATCTCCATGGTCTGAGTGAATACTTTATTCTGATGGTTTCAAGACGCCATTAATTCCCGATGTAGGACACCTACTAAGAAATCTGTTCACCATTCTAAATGAAAGTGCTGGAACCAATCTGAATATGTTATTTACAACACTGAGTGTAGCCTTCAGTGCCTAATCCTCTGAACACCACAGGATGAAGACTGTCAACTTTGTATAATTCCTGATAATAGACCTCGTAGGGCATTATACCTTAGGTAGTGATTTATAATCTGCATTACAATTCAGTAATTCACAGAAATCAGCAGAAGAAGTGAAAAGCAGCATGTCCATAATGGCCCTAATGTAAAATTGCATTTTTGGAGAAAACAAAAAAGAAACAAGTATGTGCATCTATCTTTATATAGGTGTAATTTTATGTGATTATGAGTTTTATTTCCCTATTTAAATAAAACTACTTCTAATAAAGACACACCACATAACATAAACTTCACCAAGGCAGGATTTACTGCATTGCTCCTGTATTGGACTCTATTATATTCTATCTATACTGTATTATGTCATTGTACATCTTTGGATTATACTCCAAAGTGCACTTACAAATGTATATAGGTAGGTAAACAGTTTTCAATAACTGTAGAAATAAATTAAAACTTAATGTACTTCTGCTCTGATTTGTTGCTTGCAGATACATTTTCATTTCTGATCTGTGACTGGTCAGATTTTGGTTAGGAACAGGTGATGTGTATTCCAGGGGAGGGAACTAGAGGCAACCTATACTATATAATGATGAGATGGAAATTACAATGGTCAGAGCAAGACACCCACAAGGAAAAGACATCAGAGTTGAGCTGCGTTTACAAGACAAAGATGACGAGCAAAGAATCTGTACTGCCTCGTAAGTATATTTTCTAAACAGTACTTATATTCGATGTAGTTGTGTTCGGGTTTGATGTATGGCACAATAATAATTTTCTCTCTGTTTGCCAGCTCTAAGTTAAAAAAGTATTTAACCCTCCATTTCTATACATTTGACTAAACATCTGTCTGTAGTCTGTACAGAACCTATTTGCTATTATACATAACTTTAATGCTTATTTTGTATGATTATAAAACTAACATAGTTTTATGTCTTGATTACTTAACATAACAACTAACTTTGTGTTTTGGATAAAAACTGACTTGTGTGTGGGCTTTTAGTCAAATAAAAAACAGATTAAAAAAAATGAGATGACAGTAAAAACCTTGTTTAGGCAAGGCAAGTTTTGTAAAGCATATTTAATCAAGTGTTTTTAAAATTTATTTTACTTGTTAAAAGGCAGTCAGAGATCTTTTCTTTTTCCATTTTTAATTTAAAAATACTTTATTCGTTCCTCAAGGGGAAATTTTAGGCAAGCCAGTGTACAAACAGAAATACACAAGTCTTCGACTAACACACACAAAAGAATAATAATAATAATAATAATAATCTAAAACTACAAGTATGACATATTTTAGAGGACATACACAAGGAGCATCTATCGGTCTATACACAAGGTAAACTAACCCTTTCTTGTATTGTGACTGTTCACAAGTCTGATGGCTTCTGGAATAAAACCAGACTTCCTTCCATTTGTTTTACATACAGGCAGTCTAAAGCGCTTTCCTAATGGCAGCAGCTTAATAATTAATCTTGTATGCTTTTCTGAGGACTTCAGAATAAAGCTGTATCCGCAATGTTTGTGTTTATCATCAATCTCTTTGTCAAAAGAACCGACTGCAAGCTCTAAAATTATTGGTAAAGTTAAAATATTGTTACATTTTTTCTGATCTACTCCAAAGGAGTTTAGTTTACATAGGCAGAAAGAAACGCTGCTGAGTCTTTTTCACAATGACATCTGTATTTTCACTAAATCTCGATCTGGCGTCAAACACAGTTCCCAAGTATTTATAGGTCTGGACAATTTCAACATTTGTGCCATGAAAGACTGGACATTTTGTAATCCTAAACCACTGAGATCTTCAAATACAAGCAGAAGCACTTCAAGCTATTTTTCTTGTCTGACACATCAGAAACCAGTGCAGAGACCTGAGAACAGTTGTCTGAAGGTTTTTTGGCTAGACCTAAAAAGACCACTACTGTAACTTAACCTGGAAATTAAAGTATTGGATTAGTTTCTCAGTCTGGACATAAATCCTCTGATCCACATCCACAAACATCTCAGCCAATGGGATATATAAATGAATGGGTGTGGTATATGGTCACGTGACTCGTCCAAAAACACCGTTACAAACTGACACTTGACTGTTAAAGCAAGGTAAATTTGGGTGTTGTCTGCATAATTATGATCTAATGTGGTCTAATGGAATCATGTTAAATAGAAGAGGACCATGGAGTCAATCTTGGGGAACTCCATTTAACAAGCAAAAACTAAATATTATGTGCATGTTGACTCCTTGCTTCAGAATGGCGGGGGAAAAATTGCACAAAACAGAGTCCTGGTTGGCTGCCAAATGTCCTGCTGCCACCTACTGACCTTAGTCGGTATTACACCAAAATAAGTCCATAACGAACTGAATGAAATTTCTTCCAAACTTCAAATATACCAACAGCAAAAGCTGAAATACATACATTTCTCTACTTTAGAAGAAGATTAAACCAACCACATCCGGAGCTCAGGCTGGGTCAGGTCAGGGGTTGGGGTAGATAACGGTAGATAACGGTTGTACAAAGTGCAGATCTTCTGTTATTTCAGCACTTGGATCCCACTATTCAGTTTAAAACACAGTGGCTAATACAGGTATCAACAAGTCTTTAACTTTAACTTAAGTAAAAGTTTGAGTGCAGGAGTTTTACTTGTAACAGTATTTCTACACTATGGTATTGTTTTACTGCATTAAGAGATTATTTTTCCACCACTGATGTGTAATATTTCCCAACAGAGCATTCAGAACTGAGGATTGTGCTCGTTGGGAAGGTTGGAGCTGGAAAGACTTCGGTCATGAAGACTCTCCTGAGAAGCTCAGAGGAAAATGACAAACCTGACCTTGAAAGTCAAAACATGTTTCTCCCTGATACAGAGAAGTGTCAGAGGGGAAAAGTAAAGATCAGAGGACGAACGGTGGTTGTTGTTGACACTCCTGGTCTATGTAGCACGGAAAAAACAGACGAAGAGGTGATGGAGGAGGTCAAGCAATGTGTCTCACTTGCTGCGCCTGGTCCTCATGTGTTCCTATTTGTGCTTTCCTGTTTAGACAGATTTACAAAAGAAGACCAGGATGCTGTGGACATTATCAAGAAGACCTTTGGCGAAACTGTTACATGTTACACTATGGCTTTGTTCACCCATGGAGACGAGCTGAAGAACAACAGGAAAACCATACAAGAGTTCATCGAAGAAAACAATGATCTCAAAAACTTTGTCACTTACTGTAATGGGGGATCCCATGATATTGAGAATGAAGATCAGAGTCCATCTCAAGTCACCAAGCTTCTGCAGGAGATTAACGTCATGGTTCAGAAAAATGGAGGGAAGTGCTACACCGTTGAAATGCTCGTGGAGGCTGAGAAAAAAGGAAAAGGTTCTGGAGTTTGGAAGAGAATCACACTCTCTGTTAATGGCTCTGCTTTAGCTGGAGCCGGTCTCGGAGGAGCAGTATCTCACTTTGTTGGGAGCTCAGTTGGAATTCCAGCAGGAGTTGCAGTCGGTGCAGCAGTAGGAGGTGTGTTCGGAGCCGTAGGGATAGTTACAGCAGAACACATTAAGGCTAAAAGATGCGTGATACAGTGAATTATCATGATTATCATGATCATAGTGCTGTTTTATTAAAACAAAACTTTAAAGTTTTACCGAACAGAGGCGAGGACCGGGCTGCAGCAGCTCTTCATCCTTCCTAAGTTCTCATTAGGTTCTAACAAGTGGTTACTAAACAAGAATGCTTCATTATAAAACTAAATAAACTTTGCTAGTCTTTAGCGCTAATCAACTATATCAACAGGAAGTCACTGTAGCATCACAAGCCAGCACAACCAAAAATGTCTCAATATATATCTTTGCAAATAGAAAACAATTTATTGTTTATTTCTGTGTGCATACATAAAGAAATGTGTATGTTTTAAGGAGGTAAAATATCTGATTATGATAAGATAATATGTTATCAGAATGATGTTTTGTAAAATGAGATGTTGGGTTATTATTGAGACTCATTATTGTGTTCTCCACTGGCCGTGGCTGTATTCCAAACTGCCTAATATATACTACTGAATACTACACAGATCTCATAGGAAGACCCAAAACTCTATTGGATTAACTGCATTGAATAAAAGGGAAACATCTAATCACAGCTGATAGAAATGACTTGCACAATTATGAATCTTTAATACACCTGTTTGAAACTCCTTTGCCCACTCAGCAATTATCTGTGTATAAATGACGTCTGCTCTGTGTTGCTATCCGCAAGCATGGACCAAAGAGGCCCATATAGCACAATAAAATGTTTGTTTCTGAGTATTTCTGAGTTCTGGTGAAATTCTTTATTGGTTCATTGAAAAATAAATGCAATGCAAAAGCTTGTACCATAGTGAATGTTTGAATGTGTCTAACATGTCAGTTACAGTTAATGGGCTCAGAAAGAGCTGCACACAAGAAAAAAACAAAGAAAACTTTCTTAGAAAATGTCCCTATTTTTATTCTCAGTACTGCAGCCGGTCAGTGACAGAGGGTTTGTTATCTCTAGTAAAATCATTTTTGGAGAAAAGAAGACGAACCTGTGATTTGCTTGCACATATTTTGGCACAAACTATGTAAAGTATCAACAAATGGCTCAGGCAAGTAAATTAAGGTTGGACCGGCTCATATTCCTAATTGTGTTTTGTATTTTTTTGTCCATTATGTAATGATTAAAAGAGTATATTAGTGTGAGTGTTTGAGCATTTTGTGAACAAAATTAGTCATTTTAGCCAGAAACTTTCAGTTTTGTAACTTCTTGAGGAGCAAATGTGCATGTTCAGACTTTTTTGACTGGGGTGGCATAAAGTTTGTGTCTCAGCTTTCCAGTCACTCCCAATTTAATTCCAATACGGTTTATGGACCCCAATATGCAGAAATATTCAAATACACTAAAATAACACATTGATACCACATGCAAAAACATGTCTGTAAAGAAGAGACGCATGGGTTCCCATAGAACCAATTTTCCTTAAGATATCCTGAGGTCAGAGGTCAATGGATCCCTTTAAAAAAGTCCCTGCCAGTTGTTCCATCACCAAAATGTACCCTAACTTTGGAGCATTATTTATCTTCCTTGCTGACATGCTAACATGTCATGGTTGTGTCAATGGAGATGTTAGGTCATCTAGTTTCATATGATACCAGTATCTTTAAAACAGAGCCCACTACAGCCTCTGAAATAATGGAAGGAGGGAGGATAAATGGGCTGCACTTGGGGTGGGCCAATCAGATTTCAGGGGTGGCCCAGGCCCTCCCTCTGGACACGCCCCTCAAATTGTTCACATGAATAACAAAAGCTGTAATAACTTACTGTACGTTGGGCCGGACAGATAAACAATGAGATAAATGCCAGCACGCAAATGTGGATCTAGAATGTATTTTTACTTTATTCAACCATCGTTCATTGAGGTCCAGTGTGTAACATTCAGGAGGATCTATTGTCAGAAATGGAATATAATTGAAAGAAGAAGAGGACCCGCTTCCTCTGTAGATAAAAACGTCTCAACAAAAACACAAAGATTCTTATTTTCAGGTGATTATAAACTAATGAAAACATACCTATGGATATTACATTACCTTTCTGACAATAGATCCTCATAAGATCCCTACAGGAATAGGTGTTACTAGACATTTTAAAACAGATGTTGCCCTGTAGGCTGAAGTGAGTGGAGGTGGGGGACTGGTTCCTCCTTTCAGCTGCAGGGTGTGAAGTTTGGATCCACCAGCAGGTGGCAGCAACTGTCAAACATCCACAAAATAAATGTGAGAGTAAACTAACTGCATACAAAACAGCATCAACACATTAGTGTTTAGTGAGTTCATCATGCCAAGCTCACTCCGCCATGTTTTAACCACAGAGAGTCAAACCTTCCAGTTAACACACAGGAAGTATAAATGCTGCAGTTTTACTGGAGTTATATAACAAACTGCAGAGCTCAGACCGAACTTTGTTCAGTATGGATATTTCCTGATTCATATAAACACGGTGGCCATCAATTTGAACGTAATCCTACATTAAAGTTGTATTATGAGTTGTATTTGTGTATGTTAATGTACTTTGTTTGATTTTATAGTTTCATATAAAATAACACATTCATATGTTTCTATATTTCTCAATTCCAGCTTCCAGTACAGCCACAGCAGAAGCAGACCAAATGAAAAACCTCTTTTTAACCATTTAAGGTCACAATGCCAGTCATATTGTAGCACTACAATATGATTTTTCAACCAATAATATCAGACATTCACCTGTCAATCAATCTTCAAATCTTAACCACTCAGAGCGAAGACTAACTGCTAATGTAGTTGCAGTGAACACAACCTCTGAGACAGACAGGGGACAGTTTGGTGATTTATGGAGTTTCCAGATGGACTTGTTGCTATAAGTTGCTAACTATCGCTAGCATTAATGTTACCTGCTGCTAGCTAACAGAAAAACCACCTTGGTACTTTATTCGCTGTCGTCAAACTGTCCTCCGTCCTGACAGGGGCACGTAACACACATTCAGAGATATTGGCTACTATAATTAGCTTTTTAATAAATATGCTGAACCAAACATCGCTCTCAAGACAGCAGATATAAAATAATAATCAGAGAAAAGTGTTTACTGGCTGCCAGCATATGTAAAAACAAGCCCTGGTGTATTTCTGCTCAGGTCTGACCGAAGCACTGATACGAGACGTGACAGTGTCAGAAACCTTCTAGGCTCCATCGGTTTTCTGTTAAATAAACCGAGTGGAACATTACGTCTGTGGTCTTCTATCTGTGTCCGTACAGAACGAGACGGTCGATGAACCAAACACTTCAGGTTTACACTGCAGCTCATTGAAATTCAGCCACTGTCTGCTGAGGAGAGGCTGCAGCAGATGATCCTACAGATAGACTCAGTAATAAAAGCTTTATCAGGAAACAACAGTTACATAACGGTGTTAACAGTAGTTATCAGCAAATAATCGTCTGTGTAGTTTATGTTCTGGTAAAGAGAAGTACAATTAAAGGATTATTCATTAGTCAAATTAACAGAAAAAGGGAGGTTGGTATTTAGTTTGATTAAACTGTAGAATAAAATACCTGTCAAACACCAAATATCAAATACTATCAGAGGTACGCATGCTTTACATTACACAGTCCTTTTTAAATTACATTACAACCAGCACCAACCAGCAGATTACTTCTGCTCTCTCTTGCTGTTGTTGTTGTTGTTGTTTACTTTTTTGGTCCTGACCTGTGCATCATGTTAAATAATGTATCCACATCCATCTGCTGAGAAAGTCAGCCATCGACTCTCTCTTATGGTTTAAACTCTTCTAGGGAAGCTCCAGGAGCGCCGCTTTGGACCGTCAGCTCTGTCACAGCAGTGAATCCCACAGAGGAGTCTGTACAGAGGCACTCACCACCCCCACGCACGTCACCCTGTCTTTATCATTTGTCCTTCATGTCCTTTCTCATATAATACAGGGTGATGAGAAACTTAAACAATCAATAGTTACTCAATAAGTTGTGACGCAACGTTGGTTGACGCTTAGAAAAAATTATCTTGATCCAAAAAATATTAAATGATAATATAAATAAGGATGTCAATAATGAACTCATTAACATTTTAGAAAGCTGATGATGTTCAGGTTAGTATCCCACTCTCTCTCTCTCTCTCTCTCTCTCTCTCTCTCTCTCTCTCTCTCTCTCTCTCCAACATAGAGTCGAAGGGTCTGTCCGAGGTTTCTGCCTCTTAAAAGGACGTTTTTGCCGTCTCCAAGGTCTTACTCATGGTGGTACTGTTGGGTCTCTGTAATTAATGTTTTAAAGAGTTCAGTCTAGACCTGCTCTATTTGAAAAGTGTCCTGAGATAACTTCTGTTATGAATTGGCGCTATACAAATAAAATAAAATTGAATTGAATTGAATTGAATTGAATTACTGAAGCTCAGAGACAAACTGCAAGCTGTGGCATTAAACCCGTCAAAAAGTGAAAAACCTTAGATATATGTTTGATTTAGATTTTAGTTTTTAACCTCACAGTGGAGACGTTACTAAGAGTGTGACAATTTCTCTCTCAGGCCAACACAGAGACACTAATGTAGCCTGTGAACCCTCAGCTAGTGGACTCAATCAACCCTGAAGTCCTCAGTGAGGGATCTTTCTATCTCTTATTACTTATTTATTTGTCATTATTATTATTTATTATCATTATTTTTATACATTTTAATCTGTTTTATTACTTCATCTATTTATACGTGACTCAGTTTTATATCCTTTTCTTATGGTGAATAAAAGCTGCAATCGTTGTCACTGTGACTTCAGGTTGTGAGCCTCAGGCAGTCAGGTAAGTTTGCAGAACCTTTTTTAATAAGGTGCTTCGAGTGCAAGAAGATGGAAATACAAAAGGAAAAGAATCTATATGAGCATTATGGGAGCAATGAAACTGGATGAAGTTCAATCTATCAGGTCTCTACACTTCACTTGGATAAAGAGAACTTGACAGAACAAACTGGCTCTGTGGTGGTTAGTTATTATCTCTGTATTCCTCATGTTCCCCTATTGTACAAATACTGCACGTCATGGCTCGTGTCAGTATATTGTTGTGGTAAGATTATGAAACAGAATGACATAAATGTAAATATGTTCACATCTTGTGTTGAATCATGTTTTCTGTGTTTAACTTGAATTAAAGTAAGTCTATGAGTCTTTAGAATGACCGTTTGGAACCAGAGATAATGGAGTCGGGGGCTGGAACGTTCCGGAGAGAACCAGGACCAGGAGACCAGGTTCGGAGCACATGGAGAATAGAAAGTAAACGTATATCTGAGCAGCTGCAGTTCTGTCCAAAATATGAACACCAGTAGATTCAGCATGATGCTGACAGAAATGTGAACATGTCCATGCAAGATGTCTTCTTTTTTATCAATATGTGGTGGCTCAGCCAAAAGTAGGAGCTCAAATTCAGTGTGTGAGAGAGCTTTTAGAGCATAAAATCAGTCTCGTTCATATGTTTTTTTTGTTTTCTGCTTTTTGGACACAAACTCTTTCACATCAGATTCTGTTGTTTTTTTCCTCGTTACTTTCTGGACTCCAAAACATACTTTAAAAGTGTTTCTGGTAAATTGTTGGCAAGAGTTCCAGACCTTTTCCTGGCAAAGGTTTGGACATTTTTGCTCCAACATGTCCACAGGATCAGTAATTTCCACGCTTCCTTTTCATGTGAGCAGCCGTGCAATGCATTCTGGTAGTGAGGTGGTGCGTTTCACGTTTGCCACAATGCACCATTA